CACTGGTTGTATGGTTACAGAATATACTGGAACAGGTTGTCATCTGTGTTGGCCATACAACGGAGGAGTTAGTGCTGCTTTAAAAATGCTTTTGATTCTAAAATGAGACTGGGTGAAAATTCCTTGATGTCAGGTTTTTTTAGAATAAAACTTTAGTATTGCGCGTGTGTGTAGTATGTGTATATACATATACAAATATGTACCTATATAAATACATGCATACATATACAAGTGGAAGCTTTTTTTTTACTGCTTCTTGTTGGGTTTTGTGAAGTCTAGTTAATGTTTTTGATAGTTATATTCATTGGCAAATAATGGCTGTTATTGGTGATAAAACAGTGTTCCTGATGTTCTGCTTGCATTCGTGTATTAAACAGCTGTATTTCTTTTTCAGTACAAATGGTTCACATCCAGCAACAAATCCACCTGTCCACTCTGTCGAGAGACATTTTTCTGAAATAAAATGGTCTTTCTTCTTTCTGTGAGCTAAGTAATGAATGAAGAGGCGGCAATAAACTGTATGTTCAAAGAAGCTAACTACTTGGAAATAATGTCAGTTACTTTAAATTCTTGACTAGTGGGATATGACACGTATTTACCTCTGGACTGTTTTTTGTAAGTTTGAAGAATCTTCTTTGATATAAAGAAATATATAAGAATAATTTATTTTAATTTCTATATTTTTAAGATACCGAGATATGTTAAAAAAATCCAATGCAGAGTTACGTCGGAAAAGTGGTATTTAAGCAACAGCATAGTTGATTAAAACCTCTTATTTTAGGTATGTTCTAACATGGTGTTATGTACTTAACCCAGATCATGCCTTTTAATGTAACAGGTGATTTAATATAGGTGGTATAAAGACTTGATTTTTGATTATAGTGTGTTCATTAATAGTTCCTCTTATGGGGAAAAAAGAATGTTAGACATTAAGGCATGCAACTGGGGTGACAACCTGTTAAAGCATAAAATTGAAACATAGCATGCTCTAAATTAACATGTTTGTAAACTAAGCTCTCACCTTTAACAGTCTTGTTTTCCCAAAAAAATCTCAGCCATCCAGCACCCTAAAATCATGAAAACTCGGAAGCCCAAGTAAGTAGAGAGTAGAGTCATTCCCACATGACAATGAAGAACACTACCTATTTATTGACAACTGGCTTTTAAAGAGAAGGCATACGCACTGATCAGTTCTTGTTTTCATTATTTCAGTTAATACCTTCATTAGCCGGCAAATTAACTATCACTGTCCCATAATCATAAGGATCCTAAGTGAACATGACAGATCTGTCAATTAATATTGTCTTCAACTATACATTTTGTCATGCTTTTTTAAAAAAGCAGTAGCATACTAATATATTCTAACTTGGATGGTATTTGTGGTGGATTTCTTTGAAAAGTGAGGAAAAGGGGGAGAATAAATGAATTTTCTCAATCTGTGTAGTCTCTGGATTGCTGTCTATTCCTCTGTGTGATAAACTTTTCAGAAATCCACAGAATCATGATGCCCAGTTTATAGGACACTCAAGTGGTTGTAACTGAACAGCTCTTTTTTTAGATTCTGTATGTTTTCCTAAAGCTGGTCCCTTTTGAGGTGACAGCTCTGGAAATGATTTTTAGCTGTTGATAACCTAAGTCTGTATCTTTAACAGGGAACACTGCGCTTCCAGAGGAGACGTTTCTTGACATTTTTTTGAGAAAGAGAGAATGGAAGGGATTTAAAACTGGTATTGACAAGGTCTAACTGCAAACACAGGTTAAGGAGCAAGCTGTATTATATTCCTAATTACTGATACTAAAACTCCAGGATTGTCTCTGTCGTATCACTTTGTTTCAGACAAAACTGGTTATTCTAAATGACTTGTTTGCAAAATCAGTAACTGATTTGAAGGCCAGTTGTGGTTAACTGGGTATTGCTTGAAAAGAGCCATCTTAAACTCTTCAGGCAGACACTAACTTGCAAATTGTCTACTAGGAAGAGCCTTGAGGACAGCTTTTATCTTGGGTCTGCTAGAACAAAGCAGTGCGTCTTTTGACACAGGTACCTGCTGACAGAGCTGTTCCTAGAGCTCGAGGGGAGCAGAATTGTTCCTTTCTTATTGCTTGGTTTGACACTGCATAGAAAGTCTGTTATCTGCCATGCAGCTTGTCCTCATGTGCACTGAACACAGGAGCGTGCCTCTCAAAACTCTTCAGGAATAATGTTGTGTTCTTTGGTGTAGAAGGGAACAGGTGTGCCCTAGCAAATGCTAAATGTACATGCAGGCCACTGTGTTTCAAGTTTCAAAATCTCAAAAACCAAAACCAACCAAACAAAAAAGTTACGTGGCCTGTCACTAGTTCCCAGTCTTCACCATCACAGTGGCAGTGTAATAGGACTCTGTTCTTGCAGAACTCACTTGTGTTGTTACTTGGACTGCATTTCAACAAGTGCTTCCAGTAAAGCTGCAGCAGACAGCAGTACAGTGGGGCCAGGACAGTCGACTCATGATTTATTAAAGTGGACGCATATAGTTCCTTGTCAAATATCCAGCCACTAGATAGTCCAGTGCAATCAATTTTTGTTGAAAGCACGTCATGTTTTATTACACTTTCCATTCTGATCTTCTAATTGTCATTCTTCTGTGCTTTATAATTTAAAACTGCATACACTGTTGAGCATTGTGATCTATTGTGTCAGATGACTGCCCTTTTTTATCTTTGATTACCTCTTTGAAAACTAATTCTTCAGTTGTAACTAAAAGCTAGACAGATTAACTGAAACTTCCTTTTGTTAAACTTGTAGTTTAATTCTGTGTTTTGACAACATCTTAAAATCATGTTTTGATGTTGTGATTCTTGTTCAGCAACCTAACTTTGTTAGCGAAAGTGGTTAACAACACAAAACTCCTAGAGTATGACAGCATTGTGGTTCACTCAAACAGCCCTACGGCTGTAATTATAAACTCAAAACCTACAACTCTACCTAAAAGCCAAATTGCTAAGCATAAAACCTCCTCTCCTTACAATTTTGTAAGGGAAAACAGAACAAAAAAAGTGTGGCTTAGCAAAGGGTCACCATCAAGTCCAAAAGTTCTAGAAGTAGGAAGTAGTTGAATTGAAATATGACTTCTCAGAACTGACTAGCTGGTAAGCTGCAAGAACAAAGCTTTGCTTAAATTCTTCAACGGAAAACTGTGGAAACACGTTATTTCATGTATGGCCACAGAGTTTCCTCTCAGTCTCTCAACTTTGACGCTACTTAGACAAGTTATTCAGAAGGTAAGAATCAACAAAGTCCGGAGTCTAGCCTCACTTTGGTCAATGAAACACATTTTTTTAGGCTCAGTAGTTTCAAGTACTAGAATTTCTTGTACATAGCATAAATGTTGAGCAACATCACTAGCATGAGTCTTCCCTCTAAACCCTCCTACTGTGTGTTTCTGTTCACATCCATGTTTATCTGTGTAAAACCAAATTGACAGAAAAGTTACTGAAGGGGATGCATTAGCTGTGTGTGAATTGTTGAATTGACTGGCAGTGTGGCTCTCCAGTGGTCATCTAAGCTGGGGAATGGCGGCTCTCAGGATGTAAAACAATCACCGCTGCGCACTTCCTGCTATCCAGTCCTTCTGTTTTCTTCAGGATGGTGTAAGGAACAACTTTTATGCCAGGCCAGTGCAAGCTGACTTTACCTATATCAGTCAAAGCAGCTTCTCACATTCCATTGTGGTAGAACACCTCAAATGGTCTAGCTAGGTTTGCAGTCACGTTTCTGCAAATGTTAAGAGTACCTACCTGTCTTACGTGTTAATTCTGCCTGTCCAAAACCTCCTAGAGAAGTTTTTTGGGCAGTCAGTTCAAAACATGGAAGAACTTTTAGCATCTGTACAAGCTGGGTAAGTAGAGTCATAAGCTTAGTTCTAAAGTCTTAAATGGAATAATCTTTTCAGTGCCTCAGCATCTTACCAAAACCCCTTTGAACCTTAGTTCCCATGAAAGAGCTAGCTAATGGTTTATCCTAACATCACTTACAGTTTCTATGGACACAAACCCTTAAAGGTCAGTTTCATTCTCTCAGACAGCGCTAGTGGTGCTGCATACCTCAGCAGTCTCTACCTTTGTGCTGCACATGAGCGAAACATCTTCCTCTCCAGCCTATGCCCGCCGCACGGCACGCGTCTCCTTGTGCTGCTGGAGCAATGCTGTACGAGAACCTTCTGTGGGCGCTGGGACAGGGAGGAGGCTGCAGAGAAGAGCTCTTCTTCAGGGTCTGGTGGTCAGGAAATAGCTTCCTGTTTTGGATAATGATTTTGAGAGAGGACTTTTGTTCCACTTCTCTACTTACAGTTATTGTTTTCAGCTACCTCGTGTTTTTAATAGCATCTCATATGCTTTTTTCCCTGCCCTTAATACCTTTCATGGATGAGAACTCTTCATCTAATCTACACCTCCATAGTAGTACCTTCCTTGTAAAATGGCACACAAGGGAGCACAAACACAATATTTTGCCCTTGCCCCAGCTCTTGAGATACGCTTACTGCATCTTTCTGTTCAGAAGTACACTGTTTCCTTACTACAGAAATAAACTCAGTAATTGTGCCTTAGACCTGTAACAGCGCTGGATACTACCTCAAAAAGAGTAACACTGATTCCAAATATTCATTTAAACCCAGCATAGGTATAGACTAGCTATTAAAACAGGAAGAATTATATCAAGTACATTATTTTAATAAGCTACAATGACAAATATACAAACACCTATTTATAGAGAAAAAAGTCTTCAGTGTTTAAGTGCAAATGCACCAAGGCAGGGTATTTCACAGTTCCCCACCACTGTCCTGCGGGTAGCCAGAGGACAATTGTACCTCCGATGAGATAACAGCCAGTTAACATCCAGAATAAATACAGAGTCTTGATCAGTTTCACTGCAGTAATCCAGAAGTGAGGATACACCTTAAGAGGGTGAAAATCTTGGCTTAAAAACTGATTTGACAACTTCAGTTCTCTGTTTTCAACTTTCTGCGTGCTTCGTATCTGGAAGGTTAAGAGCAGTTATCAAGACTTCCTAAATTTGAGGACAGTAAGCATTTCTTGTCCTGCTTGTCTGGAAAGTACTTGTGTGCCTTCTAAGCCATGTTTCTTCATTGTTTCCAGAATTTCATCTGTAATTGAAAGTGCAGTGTTACAACCGAGTTTATCTAGAAATCAGCTGTAAGAGGCGGTGCTCAAGTATCTACCAAACATAAGCTGTAAAGCCAAGATTATAAACTGTGTCCTCTTTTGTACAATAATTTTAATGCAAAGTAGTCTTCCACCAAGAACAAAGTTTACAATTTACTAACTGAAGTTCTGTATTTTGGTATTATTAGTAGCAATGAACAATTCAATTATTTGTAGGAGAAACTGAAATTTGTAGCACCTTCTCCCAAAAGCTGCCTGATCAATCAGGTGTGAAAGAATCTTTCTTCTTAAAATTACATGATCATGTATAGCCATTAAGCATTAGGTCGGAAGAAGCAAGTCTGAATCTTTGCTCTACACATGCCAAAATGAAAGACCTCGCATTTCCAATGAAAAGCTTTTGCCTTTTACGTTTACAATGCCATTCTCTTTCATGAGAAAGCGTTGGCCTGGCTTCGTTACTGAGTTCAGAAGATTTAGAGTCACAGTTTAGGCTTGGGTATGAAGTCTTGCAGAGCTGCTGGGCTCAGGGCCTACATATTGCCATTTTCCAAACTAGCCTAGTTTTGGTAAATTTTTGGTCTAGCTCACCATATAATGGATAACACAAGGCACAAATTCAGAAAAATGATTCCAAGAGGCATCAGGTTATGTAAAAGTCCCTCTGTAGATGAGACACCCACACAAACTTGAGAAGCACAAGAGCCCACAGAGATGCCATGGTTTGTATGAAGCATGCAGATACACTCTAGCTGTCTACCATTTCTACAAATGACCTAGAACACCTATATGAATTTCAATATATGCTGTCAATCTTCAATTAGTTGCTATCACCACACATTAGATTCAACTGATGTTATGTACTACTCTTCTTGTTTACTGAAGTCTAAAAACCCACAGAACACTGCTGTGATCATCAACATTTTGATTAATATAGTGTTAAATATGGTTTGGCACATTTAAGGGTCCAAGGAAAGTGATCACCTGGATTATTTTCTTTAATTGTGACCAAGTAGAATAATCCTCCTGGTGAAAGTAGGTCTGGTACTAATGGAAAAACTCTATCCATTACTTCTCTGCCCTTTTTGCCACCAGCCCAGGATGCCTCTATTCCGTGGCTTTCCACCTAGGAAGAATGAAAGCAAAGATTGTCTTAACACAGAATGATAGAAGTGTCAGTGGTACTTCTAAGAGAAACAATCACCATAATGTCTACCTTTAGGTGTCTGCCATTAGAAATTGGACAACTTTGATTCAGCAGATTAATTTATGCAGAAAAATTCCTTCAAAACAATGAACATACTACTTTTGTTTCAAGTTCTATTCTTAAACGTGATTAAAAGAGCTACATTTTATCACATGCTTTGTATGTATTTTCTTGTAATGTTTTATGAGCTTGTTTGCCAAATAGAAGGTGGCCAGTAAACCCTTTAAGTGTTCCTGGGTCCAATTCTGAGAGTCGGAGTCTGCAGAAGCAGAGCATATTTATTTTGCAGGGAACAAAAGCATTTTCCATTGAAAGTCTTCTATAAGAATACCTTAGCATGACTAACAGAAGTCTTACGTGGTTTATACTTGATGGAGAAATTAGGTATTGAAAAACAGCAGCTACCCATCCTTATTCCCATGTAGTCTTTAGAAGCAACTCTAGTAAATAATTTTCACTAAAACAGTGCTAGTCCTATAACATCCTTTACTATTTCAAAAAAAAACCCTGCAGTTTTCATACCAGAGCTTATTTGATTTGCTACCTCTCCTCTGACAGCAGAAATACCATTTTTATTCTGTATTTCAAATTTTTCCTACCTCTTCAGAAGGTGTTACCACGTACGGTGGATTAAATAGCAGCAGATCAACCTGCCCATTTAATCTTGGAGACAGTCCTTTCACCTATAGATGAAGTTGATGATTCTTTTGGGGTATTTTTTTGGAAACATAAAGAATGCAAACATTTTGTAAAAATACAGTTACATAGTGCTGGATATTCTGAGCATTTCAGCCTGACTCAGAACACTATACTTTCTATGCAAAAGAAGCATCAAGAACAATTTCAATAGTGTTAAAACTATGTTATCTATGGGATGTAGAGGAGCAAGAGACACATATGTAGACAAAATAGTAGTACTTTATTCTTTGTCAGTTCAGAATTTAAGTTAGATATAAAAGAATTTTGAATTTATCATCGGTTAACATTTGTTACCCAAAATGACCAATCTGTGACTAACACAGTTCGGTTCTCAAGCGTAAGCAGCAATTAATCTATTTTAGATCACATTTACTGTTGCCTATCTTCATCATCTTTTATAAACATATATACTAAGGGTATTTTAAACAAGTATCTTGCTAAAGAGATGAGAAACTTAAGCTTTTCTCCATATCAGATTTTGTAAGAAACAAAAAGTAACAACACACACGGTTCCTAATTAAATCAGAGTTGAGAACCAAGAACTGCATAGCTGCAGAGTTCCTTGTGCAGCATTTTCCAAACTATATCTATATAATTTATTTTTTAAATTCATTCAATTAAATTTTAAAGCTTAAATCTGAATTTTAGAGCTTGAGTAGTTTGATTTTCCCTTCTTTCAGAAACACTTTGGCATTTTGTTGGGTTTTTTTATCCATCCTGATTAAGAGAATGTTTGTTCTAGACTTGATGGTTACTTTTCAGTACCTCTAGTAAGTATTAAAAAATTACAAAAACTATAAAGAAAATATTATTGAAACATCTGTCTTACCAAGTCAGTAATGACTGGCTGAAGGTGAACATTGTTAAGCAGAGCTGTCTCCAGTGTACAGTAAGCTGCCATAGGATTGATATCTGTACAACTAAAATATTACATAAATATAAAAAATAAAAGCAAAATATTACAAAGTGTAAGTTACTGGGTACTGTATCTGGAAGTTTAAACCTATGGACCACATGCTCATTTCTGTACTCTGAACCAAAATATCCTTTCCAGCATCCTTTACTTTGCAAGTCAATAGCAAAAAATAGCCAGCAAAATACACACAATGTCTCAGCAGCTAAACTACTCCACACTGCACTGGCAAGTATAGGTTTTCCTTTCCAGTGCTACATCTGCATAAATATATATGCATAGACGTCGCTAATAAAATTCAGTTACTGCCAACAACCAGGTAACTAATGTTATGTCATCGGACCTCAGTAAGGCTAGTCAGTGGCTACGATTTAGGATTCAACCCAGCAAACATAAGTGTAAGCTTAGTAATTTGTCTAAGAAGTGGGGAAAATGTAATTTAGTCGCATGACTACTGAATTTTTTCAGAAGCTGAAGTAAATAGTTTAGGGTCTCTTTGATTTCCATATCTATAGAATTGAGCTACTGTTTCTTTGTGAAAAGAATTTTTTTAAAATGTGGAAATGAAAAGTATGTATGTGAGGGCTAAGTAGTCTTAATTATAGTGTGCAACAGTTGAAGTAAGTGCTATTATACTTACATGTACAGTGCACTGGATCCGATAACGGAAGAAGCTAGAAACGTTGAAACCACACCAGATCCAGATCCTATTTCAAGGCAGATATCAACTCTAAATTAAGAGAGAAAACTCTGGATGACTTTTATTTGTAACATATAAGAGCACCTGCCGCAGATGCAGAATTAGTCAAGACACGTGCTATAAACCTGCTGCCAAAGTGCCCTTCTCCCAAACAGGCCAAAATACTGGATGATCACACAGCCCTCAAAGCCCACATCAGGTCACCTGTTTCATAACAGCTGCCAGGTCCACTCGTGCCCATACAGACAATTCCTGGTTATCACGAGCCGTTTTGGGAAACACGTATGTTTCCCCTGTGCCTAACACAGAAGTAGTTTTCCATTAACTACACAGCATCAACAGTACAGGCCACATTTCTACAGCATTTATTATCCATTTATTGCAGCAAGATTGAACTGGAAGATGACCATGAAGCCACACAACAAAAGCAGGATGCCTCAGAGTTTCAGCTAGCTCTGGACAAACAGCACCAGCAGGCAATTTCAGAATAATCACGCGTAAGGTTAACTCCTTGGGCGATTTCTATAGCGTTTACAACTATGTCAACAGCTGCGGAGATGACAGCCACTGCCAGACCCAAGCAGCTGTGCAACTCCTGTAGCTCACTCAGGGCAGAGACACGGGCATTTTACCACACTGAAACGCCTGCTGCTGCCAACAACGTCACTATCAGCCCCTGCACAGCTGCTCCTTGCACAGCTCCCTCCAACCTGCCACCCCGCAGCCAACTAGCGGGGGCCGAAGCCACCCCGAGGGGAGCA